CTACGTAAGTCCACTTATTGCCTCAATGGCATATGTTATCTATATCTTGAAATTAACAGGTTGTATCAGTAATTTGATCCTCCATTATATAGAATTAACAATTTTTATTAACAGACTTCAGTTCAAAATACAACTCACAGATGGAACAGGCGATCTCACCACCCTAATTGAAGCAAAGGAAGCTGAAAATCTTCTCACCATGACAGCTGATGAACTGATTAAACTCCAATAACAGGTACTTTTCTTCTCTTCTTCTAACACATAATATCACCTCATCAACAGTGTCCAAACATATGAAACTAAACCGGCCATCTGACTTTTTCCCTTTATCTACACAGCAAAGACACCTAGACATCGACCAAATCAACAGTGAGTTTGAAGATCTAGACAGACTCTTCCACTTGCGTTTAAGCACGAACGCCACAAAAGAAGCACCTACGAAATACATTGTTACTGCATATGTTCTCCCATCTTCACCATCTTTAACACCAGCAGAATCCAGCGAGAAAGAAATCTCTTCCAACATCCCGCAAGTAACAACTGCAGACATAACAATGACCGAAGAAGAAACAAGTGCATCTACTCAACCACAAAGCACAAACCCACCAGCAAAAAGAAGTTTCACATCATCAACAAAATCGGCACATCGAGCAACCAAACATGCCAAACAAGACTAAGAACCAAGAAAAACCACCTTTTGGTACGTATTAGGAACACCTCTTAACTACTTCCAGTAGGAGCTGACAATAGAGCAATACTTGGTCTCTATTTTTTGGCAAACATGACTACCATACATATCCCACAAGATCATGTTTGCGCAAATATATATTTTGTGTACATAGCGGTTGTTGTAGTTAATGGTGTTCCTAATGTAATCAAATGTTATATACTCAATGCTCCCGTTGCCTATCAATTTAAATTCCAGCAATTTCCATCTTCATATACCCTTTATTATCAATGTCAAATCTCATGTGGACAGACCACACATGGTTAATTAAGACCAATTTTAGTAATAATTATAATCCTTTGGCTAATTAACAAAATATAGTGAAACCGTTGATTGTGGATTTCTTCATTCTTTTTCTCTCCATTCCATTAGATTTTGTACTTTTTTTGGTCCACCGTACACCCTTTCAATGGTTCAAATTAGAATATTGTAGTTTTTTTAAAGGTAATCTAGAATAATAGTAAGGTTAACAAAAAAGGAAAAGATTGGCTTTTTTCCGTAAGGAAAAATTATTGAGGGGATAGTATTTCAATGAAAAGATAATAAGAATAAAAAAATTAAACCTGATTTTTTGATACTCTATCAATATCTTCATGTGTATGATCAAAAGGGGCAAATTAATTTTAATATCTCAATGATTTTTTCGTCAGCCATGGTTCTTTTTCCCTCCTTTTTGAAAACACATAGCCATTGTTAGTGCCCCAGTTTCACGACTTTTGGGTGTACTTTAAAGTAATCAGATCAGATTATTAATTCAAAACATCACTTTTCTTGGGAAATTATCTTCACATATCTCACACATTTAATGATTTGATAAGTTTCATTAAACAGACGATAAAAAATGAATACATTCCGATAAGTCATCCACTCAAATTTGAAGCTTCCCCTTATCACATCGGCGGCTTAACAAACTAAACCCTAATACGCAAATGAATTGGCACATTATAACACTCATGCAGTCACATACACACACACACACGCACACAATCACCCATCAATCATTGTCTTTGTAATTTTCTTAATTTATGACTCAGCTATATGTGTGTCCATTGAACAATAAACCTGGTTGTGGATGCATAATTAACGTGAAGCTTCTTGGAGTAATCATGACTAAGTCGATCGTATGCTTCTTAAGGATGACATGGAATATTGTACAGGGCGGGCCAAATTCGAATCCATGATCCGAGCTGCAGAAGATTAAACTCGGCCCCAATCTTTGTGCACAAGGTAAATGTTTCATCTTTCCATCTAAATTCGAACTCATATCATTTTGTATCCGCATCTTTCAATATTATGAAACTAACCATCATGTTTTTTTCTCTCTCATAAATTTGCTGCTATGGGGATTAGGGATTGAGGAGAAGAGTGTCATTGAGACTTCTGATTGTGTGAACCCTTTCTAGTGGAACCCCGCCAATGATACCGCAGTGATCGAGGTACAATCATAGAATTTGATTCTTAGTCAATCATGGACGATGGAGTCATTTTGGCTTGCTTCACTTTTCGAATGTTCAACTATTGGCATTTTCAGTTTTTTTCCATATTTAATTGATAGGTTTATATTATTATCGTGAGACCAGTTGAAAACAAAATATCTCAATGTTGATTCAACTAATACTAAAACCTTTTTTTTTATTTTGATCATCTGCTGAATTTCTTTTGATTACTGATTGTACGTATTTTACTTATTGCTCCCTGTTTAAGTGTCCCATGACTTACGATATGGTTTAAATCATATGGGGGTGTTTGATCGGTCCGTTGAACAGACGGGCTGTTTGATCGGGTATTCTAGCGATGGTTTTGGAAAGTAATTATGGAGATTATCGTCAAGACAATACCGGTTGAATATTACATTATTGATTTTAAGGTATGTTTTTCTTACTTTTGAAACCCTCATATATATTTGATATTCCATTATTTCTTACTTTTAATTTTTTGTTGTGTTCAGTAGACTATTTGTTATTTAAAAAAAAATTACATCCTTTTGATCACTGATTTTGTTCCCCTAATTATCTCAATGTTGGCTCTCTCGATATGGTTTGGAGCTTCATTTTGATGTGGAGCTTTTTCTTGAAATTTTTAGCAGCTCCTGGCATTTTATCAGGCCAACATAGTTCATTTTGATGTGATGTTTGGGATTTTTTTTTAATTTTTGCAAAAAGGGAAAGCTTCAAGCTCCAGTATCTCATCAAATGGTGCTAAATCAAACATATTAGGAGCTTGCTTTCATTTCTGATTTCTGGTCTTTTATTGGAACTGTTGTAGTTCAAAAGTAGTGGTGGCTAATGCTTGACATCATTTCAGTTTTTTGGTTGTTTGTGTCAGACTGAACGGGAAAGATGGGGTGATAGCCGTGGAGCTGGATGACATGAGATTAAAAGAGATGGAAGATGAAGCGGAATTGTCAAACACGAGAAAGAGATCATGCGGAATTGTCAATAGGGCAACCATTCGAACTAATAAATAGGGCCAACCGAAGGGATATGCTTATATCGTATTTCTTAAAGTAGAAGTTGTATAAGAGGCTCTAATGAGTTTGAGCTTAATAGGTGGATATTGATTTTGGTTCAACTGTAAGAGGCTCAACTGCTTGTGCAGTATTCTCTAATACGTTCATATTGATTTTGGTTTTGACATTGTTTGAGGCTCTATCAAAATGATCTTATTATTTATTTGTCATATTGTAAAGTCATTTCGAAGAAAAAATTCAAGAACAATGGCTCACCGCGAAAAGCGCAGGTGTAATACTAGTTATCATTAAAAAAAAAAATTAGTAGGGTTAGACGCACTTAGTGCGTATCCTAGTGTGAGCGTGTCCTAGTGAGACAAATGACCCAAAAAAAAATTAATTTAATAACTTGAGGGAGAAGGGGAACAATGTAGAATAAAATGATGTTAAATCACAACTATTAAATAAATTCGCAAAGATCACATTTAATGAACATGTAAAATAAAAAAAAACAAAAATAATTGATGTAATAAATTCAAGGAGAAGGGAAAAAAATTAGAATAAAAATGATGCTAAATTTCAACTATTGAATAAATTTGATCGGATCATTATTAATAATCATATATTTGCATGAAAATACAAAATTGTGAGGAATAAATAAATTACATATAGGAGAAATTATAATTGTGTAAAATACTTGAAATCAAAACTGTCATATTTCACCAAAAGAGCTCTCAAGGTTCTAGCACAATAAACCATTTTCTTTTGGCCTCCCAACCGTCTAAAAAATGAAGTTTTGTATTTTGATTTAAAAAATGTAGATTATCATGTAGTTATATCAAATCTTTATTTGTTGTGATCACCTCAAACACTTCATGTTGAGGCGATCTCGAAAGCAAATATTTATACTTTCTAGGTAAATTATTGATCAATAGCAACCAAGTTCTCAATTATACATTAGCTCAAGTGATTGTTATAATATAGTATACCCAAAACAACAAGAGGAAAAAGAAAAGGCGGTGCCTTGCAAGCATTCTTCTGATTAGAACATCATTTAGCACCGCATTGCATCTGAACAGTGATGCAAAATTTGGGTAGCAAACAAAACTATAATAGTAGCGTCTAATCTCCTCCTTCTTTATTGATTAACTCACGTAATCTTCAACTGTATTAACGGGCAAGAGTGGCACATTGACATTCTCTCTCTCTCCAGAGATGTTCCTCAACATTGTGACATGGTAGCTTAGGTTGTTTGGTGGGAGATGCTCAGCCAATAGGGGCACAAGCTCACCATCAGTGGGATTTACGACCAATAAAGTGATGTCATCAAACATGGTAGCTTACTTCAACAAGTTTTTAAGATCTGTCATGCTAGTCCCATAAAGAGTAACATATCTAATAGGGGCAAGCAGGACTTGATATTGCTCTTCATTATAAATATGATAATAGACTCGTTTCTGGAAAGAAGTTGTGGGCAATGCTTCTTTTTCTCAAACAAGCTCATACACAATCTTTAGGGTATGCCATGATAGCAAGTAGCACCATCCAAAAAGCAAAGTGAGTAATCTCAGTTGCCATGTGCAAGTCCAAATCAAGCATCTTCTTTGAAAGCCATGAACCGAGACTACAACCCAAGGATTTACTAGCACAATGGAGTATCATTGCTGTTAGAATGAGTAGCCAAAGAAGGCTTGAGTCTCCAAATAACAAAAACGGTTTTCTTTCAAACTCAAAACCGATCTTATCCCCTTCATAAACGATTCTTGGGAGAAAACAGAAAACTATGCCAGAGATCCCAAAATCAATCAACTCATAAAAAAGGTGATGGATAATTTGAGCATAAGTGCTGGATTTAAAAAGTTTCTTAACCCCATTGTACCAAGCGCTAGTGCGAAGAGTGAATCTAGGAAAGTAAGCAAGGATATCGGTGCAAATTGCCCTAAGGTTATCAACATATCCGATCCATATACCAGCCGTGAAAACAGAGTGCCAAAGAGAAGAGCAGAGAAGAGTACGGACATGGACTTAAGAAAGATGACAACCGGTGTCTGTCCATGTTTAAAGAGCTACTTGAACTTCAATGTCAAGTCAGTGCCTCCTCAGAGGGGAATAATGGCATCAGCTGCAAAAGCAAATGAGAGAAATGCAAAAACACGGGAACGACGATTAGTTGTGCGCAGCAGATCAGAGAAAATGTGAGGAGGAGAGGGCTGGCGAGCTTCGTGGACGAGCTGGTTCAAATTACTCATCGTATTAGTTATGTCCGCCATTGATTTTGACAGAGAGAAGGAGAGAGAGAGAGAGAGAGAGAGAGAGAGAGAGAGAGAGAGAGAGAGAGAGAGAGAGAGAGAGAGAGAGAGAGAGAGAGAAAAGAAGAGTGAGAGAGAGAGTTAAAATGTTTTCTTTAAGAATACAAAAGATAAACAGTAATGTGAAAAAAGGGGATAACACAATAAATTACCTTACAAAATTTTATTACTATTTCCGATCTGAGTTGGAAAGAAATTTTTGATAAAGTTGAGATATAAGACAGAACAGGAGATTGGAGCGTTTTTTCCCTTTGGTTAATAGCTGAAAAGCTCTTGTAGGGTTCTTGTTTTCTATTTATATCAATCTTCACTCGTGTATTGATGACCGTTCCTGTAAGCATTTAATTTTTTTTTTATTCTAATTAAGATAGGGTTCTTTGGTATTTCAATAGAACTCCAACTTTGTTACAATCAAACTCGCGAGAAAATACTGAAATTTAATTTTTTTTTAATTCCTTTCTATGCACTGAAATTTAAAAAAAAAAAAACTTAAACAATTAAGCTTGGATATTTTTCAAATGTTGATATTAATTTCTCTGAGTTGCATTCACTATTTTTTTGGGTTTTGATATTTTTTTCTTAATCTTTTGAAAACTTACAATAAAAATAACCAACGAAAGTTGAATATTTTGTGTTTGAAATAATTGCTTAATTTTACTTTTGAAGGTTTGTGAAAACATCTTTGGAAACCGATGTCATAGTATGTTGGCAAGAAAACTTCGTCAATAACCAGAACTCCAGATGGTGGTAGATACCTCATTAATCTTTCTGTTATGTTTGCTTTATTTTAACTTTTAGGTTACAATAGTAGTAATACGTAATTCTTACTCAATTATCCCATTGATTCGAAATAATTATTCAATTTTGATTTTTAATTTTTAATATCATATTATACTAAAAGTAAAAATTTAAACAAGATCATTGTTTAATTTCTGACATGATATTTTATTATCCTCATGGGTGTAGTTGGATCGGTTGAAGTTATTGGAAGGCCTTGTCAATTACAAAAGAGAGTGGTGAAATCAACAATTATGAATTTACATTTGGCTGGTTTGAGTTTTATATCTTTCGACCACCCACTTTGCTGATAAAATGTTTTTACTCCAAACAAGGTCAATGTGTCTATTTTAAGCATATATATATATATATACATATATACTAAAAAATATCACATAGACCTTTATCATTGTTGTTTTTTGAACTAAACCCAAATGCTTAACATTCATAATCAGCAGACACTAGCTTTTAAAAGACCATGAAAAAAGACATGTAACAACTCAAAAGTGCCCATAACACTTAAAAGTACTGGTCTCAACCAAGATAAATAAGATATTCATAACATATAGCTACGAGCAACGATTAATTATATAACATTCACTCCTCTCTAGCTACTTCCAATTCTGAAATCTTTTGATGGGCCTCGACATATGCATTGAGGAAAGCCTCATCATTTGGAGCATATTTTTCAACGAATAGTCGAAAAGCAGGATCTCTCAGAAGGGTTTTATCTGAGAAGAGCCCTTCCTTCTCTTCCCACAAAAGGTCCTTGGAATAGCTATCATCAAACTTCATCCATGAATCTAAACCATGTCGTGCCAAGATACGGCCACCACACAAAGCTACAATATCCTTGTTGGAAAGACCATCTTTCACAAAGTGGTCAAAACCTTCAGAAGCATTGTCACCTGGGAGCACTGATTGGAAAATTTCCTATCGTCCCAGATAAAATGGTATCATTAAACTGCCCATAACTTCTACTGCAATAATTCCAACTAACTGAAAGATATCAAGATATGATAACAATGCAAATTGTTGCTTGATGCCCTCCAAAAGATCTGATGCTATATGTAATCCCTTTTTATTTAGAGCAAACTCATACAGTCCAAGCTCGATACAAGCACAACACAATGTGAAAACAAAAAGTACTTGCACACATTTCTTATCATTAACAAAGAGAACTATGAGAACTAACAACTGGGTAAGAAATTTCCAGTCCTAAAATTTGGGTAAGATATTCTCTTAGCTTTCTCAACATCATGAAGATATTTGGCACTAACAAATGGGTAAGAAATTTCTAGTCCTTTTTCCTCATTTAGGACCTACAAGATGGGTTCTCTGATAGAGCTAGCATCCATGATGGTGTCTTCCCTCTCAATAAGAATGCGAAGCTTATCGATAAGTTCAGGTTTCCGTAATCATCTGCAAATATAATTGCTGCCCTCAGTAATGACATCACCATCCTCAGATACAGAGAATCCGGGGTAGGAATTGCACTCAGCCCCATAGTGATGAGAGCCTTGGACACTTCTACTCTTGTTTCTAAGTTGATAGGTCTCATCGGGGGTAAATGATACCACTATCGTACTATCAGAGATGGGATGATTTTTGCGTGATGTAAGAGACGAAAAATGAGCATAGACTACCTTCCCAAGATATTGAATTTTGTTAGTAATAAATAGAGCTTGTAACTAAATGCACCTTGACTTTTTTTGGTCACACTATTTCTTTATTTTGTATCTGTAATGTTTCATATTTACTGTGTTGTATAAGCATTGAAATGTATAATTGAGGTAATATATTTGGGATTGTGTTTCATTAGTAGGCTGTGTCGGAACCAACCCAAACATTCACATTGTTGAATTTTTTTTTTCCAAAAAATACATAGCAGATTTAAGGTATATATAACTGCACGGCCGCTCTACCTCTTTTGCAGCCCAAATTCCGTCCCCTGATAGTAGGCTCCAATGCTGATAATCCCTCTGGTTTATTTCGATAAAAAACAAAACCTTTCATCTTTTTAAAGAGCCAACTTTTGCAATCATCCATCAACACAATTGAAATGAGGCCATCCAAAGGGATACTATTTGGATTTTTTAGTTCTTTTATATCTGATTTATTATTTCTCTGTATTTTAATGCTTTACATTTGACCAATTTCAGGTCAAATCAACAAGGTATTTTTCTGGTACATTAGCTATATATTTATTTAAAGAAACAAATGAAAATCTTAAAGTAATAAAATAATCAAATAAATAATTTTAATAAAAATTCATTAAAATATTTTAACAAGTTGTTACCTCAATTTTTTTTGGAGTTTTCAGTGCCAGTAAATTCAACCGTAAATATTTCCATTTACTTTAATGTTTTGCTGTAATTGTGTTGTGGAGTAGAAAATTTAACTTAAAAATTGGCGATTCACCTAAAAAACTGAACTCTAAGTCGCACCTCTAACCTAATTACAAACAGAACGGGTTAAAAAAAAATTTAATAACTAATTTCTCTTGAAATAAAATTATTATTTTATTTTTTGAATGGTTTTCTAAAGGAACTTAATATCTCACACATTATTTATTAATTTTTGTTTTCTATTAATTTTATTAAAATAATAAACTTTGATGGAAAGAAGCGTATGTCTTACTCCAAGGTGTAACATGGTTAAAAAAAAGCAACTGCTAAAACAAAATTTTGGTTCTCTAATGATTTTTGAAATACGATAATAATGCTATACATAAATTAATTCCCTAATATATATAGTATTTTTTCATTAATTTTATTGATTTTACTAAAATTGAAATCCATATGAGACCATTATTAATTTGAAATGGAGAGAGTTTTATTTTTTTAATCAAAATAATAGGACGGTTTCAAAAAAGACTGTCAACGCAAAGACATGCTCATTATTCAAAATGAATTTAATCAATTGAGAATTAAATATTTGGCTGAGATGCTGAAATAAAAAATCAACATAAAAGCTTCGAGTATCAGTGAATCCCTCAAGACCTTATTTGTAGAAAACAATGACTAGTTTTTTGTTCGATTCTTTTGGAACAAGCTAATTCCTTTGAAGAGTTTTTTTTTTCTTTTTGTGGAGGTTGTATAATCAACTAGTGGCTTTCCCAGAGATACTACAAAAGATGGGTTTTTGCTCTTACCCAACTTGTTGTCCACTGTGTCTTCAGGTGGAGAAAAGCATACAACATGTTTTTTATACATGCTCACAGGTTAGAAGGGTATGAAATTATTTTTTATCTCTGTATGGAATATTCTTACCTTATAGTGCAGGTTTATAGAGCTTTAGCGTGGTATTCGGTTGGGAATTTCTCATCAGCCAAAAAAGCTGTCATTATGATCACTCAATTAATCATTTTATGGGAACTTTGGAAAATGCGGTATAAGTGTTTCTTTGAAGGTACTCAATTTTTCTTTGAGTCATTAATTCATGAAATTAGATCTAACATTTCTTTTATTTTTAGCGCTGAAGTACAGGATGGGTCAAGGGAAATTTTTCATGTCAAAGTCAAGGGAAAAAGGAGAGGAAAATTAGCTCCCTATGCTGGCTCCCTCCTGAAGCAGGAGAAATTATAATCAACATGGATGGGTCAGCTCTAGGCAATCTAGGCGAATCGGGATAGGGTTTCGTGGCTAGAGGAGAACGAGGTTGTTTCATTAAAGCAAAAAGCAGTAATCTAGGAGAGTCCAACAATCTTTCTTTAGAGATCGAAGGCATCTTACAATGATTAAAGTGGGCAGAAGAGCAAGGATATCAAAAAGTCAAGCTTCAAACGGATAGCAAGTTGGTGGTGCAATTACTAAAAATGGCAAAAAATTTCTTTGGAGGCATCATGGATCATTGCATCAGATTCAAGGTATTTTTCATCGAACTGGTTCCAAATGCAACATATTTTTTGCGAGATTAATGCATTGGCAGATGGGCTATCGAAACGAGCCTCGAATGGACAATCCTTGGAACATGATAGCCCAGCTAACCTTCCTAGGTCCTTGAGAGGTATTCTATACCTGGATCAAGGGTCTTTTCTATTATCTTCGTATTAGATAGTTGATTAGAATATAGAGATGTCATGGGATTTAATAATATCTTTGTCAGACAATC